CTCGGGGAAAGACAAGAGACAGCCCCCTCCTCATGCCCGGAGCTCGGCGAAAGACAAGAGACAGTCTTCCTCACGCCCGGAGCTCGGCACTGCAAGGGACTGCGCTAGAGAAGACCCGGCACCTACTGTGGTTTATGTAGAAGACTCTTCCGTCCGTGTGGGTCCGCTCCTCCCATCCTGGCTGTAATGGAACATCATTGCAATTATTTCAGTGCCAGGTCTTTAGTGTACAAGATTGTTTTAAAAAACAAAGCCAAAACTAAAAAACCCTAAGCGCTGGCTGTGTGCTTAATTCGAACACATTGTTTTTAGCAGAGGGCATCACAGTTTTAACAACGTTTGTTAGAATCGTTAGAGGACTCCTGTATTCTGAGTTAGTCAGGTGAGCTCAGCAGCAGAACTTACAGGCAAAGGTCCCAGGTCACTGGACGAGTCGGCTGATGTCTTCGCTTTCGGAGGAGCAGGGGTTTTCAGTCTTGGATCGTCCTTTATTTGGTTCAGTCATAAACAAAACAACACACACGTTTTAAAATAACGATAGTCACCGTGCTGCAGCGGTTTTGTTCACATTGATGGATATTTAAAATACTCTTAGAGTTGGAGAGACAGCCCTGTGGTAAAGCCTTTGCCATGAGAGAGCGAGGCCTGGAGTGTGGGGTCTGAGGGCCCACGCACGCACCGTGACCCACTGTAATTCTGGCCTTGGATGGTGGAGAGGGGGTCCCCACAGCAAGCTGGCTAGGCGGACGAGCTGCAAACGAGCTGTGGGCTAGAGTGACAGGGCCTGCCTCCCTGAGTTACTAGAAAAGCAATGGAGGATGATTTCTGGCATCAAGCTCAGGCCTCCACATGGACGGACACACACACACACACACACACACACACACACACACACACGAGCAGCATGCACACTTATGAACACACATACGCACGCAAAGCATGAACTCGCACAGCAGCATGAACACATACATGCAGGCAGTGTACACAGGCAGCACACACACAAGTGCACACACACACACACACACACACGTGAAAATGGAGAAATAAATGAAATACTCTTTCATATTTCATTCATACTTTGTGAGACAGGAGCTCTGACAGCCCAGACCGGCACTGGAGCCCAGACCCTCCTAACAGCCTCAAATGCTGGGGTTCTAGCCATGTGCCCAGAACCTTACTGTACTTGAATTCCTTCACTAGTGACCTATTTCTCCGGGAAGATACTGCTGAGTGGCCATCCTACTGAGGGGACGAGGTCACTTCCCAGTGGGATCAGCGCTGAGGATTATGTCACCCCTCTGTGAACCCACTGAGAACATTTTAGCCAGTCTGTTGGAACCTGAACTGTTTCAAGTTTTTTTTTGCACAGAAAAAAAAAAAAAACTGTGGTGTAAGATGGCAGCATTAAACTGGCCTACATCTGGGCAGGCGAGATGGCTCGGCGGGCTGAGGTGCCTGATGCCAGGCCTGACACCCTGAGTGTAATACCTGGGACCCAGATGGTAAAGGAGAGAACAGACTCCTACAAGTTACCCTCTGACCTCCACACACATGCTGTGGCACACACGCATGTACACATACAGGATAAATGCGTGCATGCATGTAATCAAACACACAAATGAATAAATAGAACCATATGTTGTAGCATCTGTTTGAGTATCTACCCATCTGTCTGTCTGTCTATCTATCTATCTAGACAGGATGGTAGTCTAAAGGTTACCAAAATCAATTCAAATCTTAAAAAGGAAACAAAATTCAATTTATTCACATTAATTAATGTATAATTACTTTAATATTAGTCAAGTTAGTAAGCTATTTTAGATTTGTTTAAGCAGTTATTAGTCTCAAGTGTTAGAAATTTTGATAGCACTTTTGTTGGTGATGAGCTAGACATCAAACAACTAAGATGTAAACTAAAAATATCGGGACTCAGCTGCTCCTTCAGAGGGCCAGGGTATGGGCTGAGCACCCATGCAGCGGCCCACAACCGTCCGTGACTCTAATCCCAGAGGACCTGACGCCCTCATACACATACAATAATGCAAACAAATTCTAACAGCAACAGCAAAAGATCTGTCTGGTAGTATTAATAAATGAGATAGAAACTTGCAAGTGCTTTGAAATTAGAAAGTCTCATATAAAGGTAGAAAATTATTACTAAAAAACTTTTTAAGCTTTTATAAGCAGTGAGCCAAAAATTGGAAACAGGAAATACATTTGAACACCTTCATAAAATCTAATCTCAAAAAAGAGCATAAACATACTTTGCATACAAACGCTATTATTTTATTAAGACTTTATTATTATTAAGCTGGGGGTGTGGCTCAGCTGGAAAGTGCTTGCATTTCCAGGGTTGGAGTGATGCTCAGTAGTTAAGAGCAGTGGCTGTTCTTCCAGAGGACCTGAGTTCAGTCCCCAGCACCCACATTACTGCTCACAACTGTCTGCAATCCAGCTCTAAGCGATCTGACTCCCTCATACAGACATACACAAAGGCAAAACACCAAAGTACATAAAACAAAAAATAAAATAAAAAAAATAAAATAAAAACAAGCGCTGGCTTTCATTCCTAGCACCACAGGAATGGGGCCTCATGTGTGGAACCTCACAGGTGGAGGCAGGAAAATCAGAGTTCAAGCTCATCTTCAGTTATACAGCAAGTTCTAGGACAACCTAGGCTACATAAGACTTCACCTCAGATAACAAAAACCAAAAACCAAAAACCCAACCCCAGAACGAAGACTTCGACATGTAATGCACTTCCTATGTGGAAAGGCAGGTTGCACTCACACACGTGACTAGATACAGAAGCGATTGCTGCTATCAATTTAAAGTGAGGAGCGTGGAAGTTACCCAGCTGGTGGTCTTGGTGTTGTGGTCAATAAAGAAAGGCCTCCCGTTTGGTGCATGCCGGACTTCCCAACCTTTGGGAAGGAATGCTTGCTGAGTGCCAGATGGCGGGCTGGCCTGGTGAGCGGGGTCACTGGTGGGGAGCTGTGGCTGAGGGCCTGCGGAACTCTGGCTTGATGGCTGCTGACTGCTCTCCACTGGGGCCTGGCGTATTAATTAAGTCATACTGTAAAACTATCGAGCACTCACAAATAAATAGTGTAATTAAAACAGCTAGCTTAACCTGTAAAGAGAAGGCACACTTGTAAACCAGTCCTAAACATTTGAGGCTAATTCTTATTTTTACTATGAGAAGGTGTGTGTATGAGTTCATGAATATGAGCACAGGGGCCTGTGGAGAGGTCAGAGGTGTTGGATTCCCTCGAGCGGAGTTACAGATGAGTGCGAGGCCCTGATGTGGGTGCTGGAACTGAACCTGAGTCCTCTGGAAGAGCAGCAGGTGCTCTTAAATCACTGAGCCATCTCTCCAGGCCCAAATCACCAACATTTTAATCTTTTTTCCCCCCTGATTTTTTAAGCAAAGTTTTATATCAAACTTTGTTTCTATAATAATTTAGTAAACTCACTCCAATTTCCTCAGCTAATGGACACATGGTAAGATGACTGTTAACTGCCGTGCAGCCGACGGTAAAGGATACCGTGTCTAGAGCAGAAAGCTAGCTTTGGCCCTCAAGAGTCACAATGGAAACAGCCTCAGGGCTTGTCAGGCAGCTGAGTGGGCAAAGGTACTTGCTGCTAAGCCTGAGGATCTGAGTTTGATTCCCCAGAACCCAAATGGCAGAAAGGGAGGACAGACTCCTTTAAGTTTTCTAAACACACACACCACACCCACACCCACACACACACACAGAGCAGTACCCACTGCAATAAATAAATAAATAAACGTAAAAAAATCTCTATGATAAGAAATGGTGATAAGATAGAATAAACATGCTATCAGTCCAATACAAGGAAGACCTAGCAATTATAAACGTCTTTAAAATTTTTTTTTAATTTATTTTCTTTTATCTGTACGGGTGTTTTGCTTCCATGTATGGCTATGTACCAAATGCATGCAGTGCCCATGAGGGCTGAAAGAGGGCATGTGTGTCCTCTAGAACTAGCTCATGGATGGTTGTGAGCCCTCATGTGGGTGCTGGGTACTGAACCTGGGTCCTCTGCGAGAGAAGCCAGTGCTCTAAACCACTGAGCCATCATTATAAAATTTCTTCAGCCCCATAATTATACAATTCCTTCAGATACCAATCACCAGGACCAACTTTTAGCCAAATATCTAACAAGGGCACCGGGAGATGCCTCAGTGGATAAAGTGTTTGCCATTAGTGTGAAGACCAGAGCTGAGATCCACAGCATGCATAAAACGCAGGCAGCCCGGTGGCCAGCTATGATCCCATCGTCTGAGAGAGACCAGATCCCAGACCTCCAATTTCAGCAAAATACCCTGACTCAATAAAAGACATGGAGAGCAACTGAGGAACACAGAGTCAACTCCAAGCCTCCACACGAACATGCTCTCTCATGAGCACGCACACCCAAACACACAGGCACACACACATACACGAACACACGTGCGCACCAACACACAGACACATGCACACCAGAACAAAACAACACACTCACTGAGTGTACAGTCATCCAAAGGACCAGACTGTTACCATTCGATCTGCTTCATGTAATAACAAGGGGTGGTTTGTCTGGACGCTCACCACAGGAGACAGATCAAGCAGAGGACACTGCAAGTGTGAGGCCTGAGCTCGGCGGAAAGGCTGAGAGAAGAGTACCTGCATGGTGGGCTTGGCCCATGTGGTGGTTCTAGAGTTGTGGTCTACGTAGTACGAACGTCCTCTCTCATCCTGCTTCTCTTCCCAACCTGGTGGCAACCCAGATGAAGTAGGCAGAAGCTAATAAATACAACAAAACGACTCCGGGTTAACCTGGGAGAAGACCTGACCGGGGCCCTGGCCTGAAGTAACCCCTATTTTATTCTGAACTAAAACCACTCATCAGAAGAGAAAACGAGCAGAAGACACATTTTAAATTTAGAACAGTGAACCTCATCGTAAATCATATTAAGAAAAATAGATAAATAGCAATTCACTTGGGAGGAAAGAAAACAGATGCTGAACATGATTAAACATGTCAACACTAGCAGCCATATATTTAGGGCTACACACACACACACACACACACACACACACACACACACACACACGTATGTAAGCTGATGAAATTATTATTAACACTAGCCCACTTTGCTGATGGTAAGTTGAGGCTTTGGAAAGGAAGCAACTTCTGTGCCACTGCTTCTAAGAAAAAGATCTGAGGTCTAAATCAAGGCACACTAACCTCAGAAACCACATAGGTGCTGGAGGGCAGAGGCAGGTGGATCTCTGTGAGTCTGAGGCCGCCTGATCTACCAAGTGAGTTCCAGGCCAGCCAGGGGCTACAGAGTGAGATCTTGCCTCTACTTATACCTGCTCTGGGCTAACAGAGGAGCTAGACAAGACAGGATGTGGACGACAAGACAGGATGTGGACCGCAAGACAGGATATCAGGGTAGCCCCTCCATGGCCTCTATGATTGGCTGTCATGTTGATGAGACCAGTGGGCTTCAAAGTCAGGTGGCCCCTCATGCTCAGCACAGGAAGAGAAGGAATCCTTTTCAGTATGAAACCATCTTTCTTATCTGTGACAGATAAGCCACCCTCTTTAGCTGCTGATCCTGGACCTCAGCATCCCCATGCTGTAATCCCATGAAAGCATAACCCTCACTTCTCAAAACCGATATAAAGGCTGACCTTCAAAGATGCAGAGATTGGTGGGAAGGGGGAGGTACTTTCAGAAGGAGATATAGGATGTGCATACAGATAAGCGAGAAAAAGCATTATTCAGGCTCGGGGAAGAAGGCAGACAGGGGGCAGGCCAGCAGGTGGCAGGCCAGGGGAAGGGCGGACTGAAGAGGCAGGAGCCTCAGAGGTTAATTCTATTTGAAAAAACAAGCGGGACTAGGTACAGCTCAGCTGGCGGAGCGCTCTCCTAGTGTTCTGGAAGCTCTTAACTTTGATTTCCAGAACTACACAAATCAAGCATGGTGGCAAACGCTTGTAATTCTACCACTTGGGTGATGGAGGCAGGAGGATCAGGCAGGAGGAAGGCCCAGGGTACATAGGATCCACTCACAGTCAAAGCAAAGTGACTACACAAGGCAGTGAGACCTTGGCAGAAGGAGAGGGGAGTCAGGAAGAAGCCAGGAGAATCACTATGGAGATGGCAATATCCGCTGCCTGGTAGACCAAGACCAACGGGGAGGGAGGTGCCAGGAGGTGAAGAGCCAACCTGGCCGTGGGCACACACTGGACTGAGCGACGGATGTCCCTGACTAGACAGCTCACGCAAAGGGCAGATCTCACAGCTGGGTGCGTGTCAGTGCACAGCTGGACACTGTGTATCGAGTGTAGGGTAGCTGTGGCCCGAACCCTCCCAGCAGCACAGAGATACATGTTGGAGGTTGGTCTGATGCATGTTACTGGCCCCGAAGCTCTTGCCTCTGCTCAGAAGAGCACATTCTCACATAAACCTATCCTTGTTGTGTAAACCTGCCTAAGTCATTACACCTGACTGGTTGATTAGACAGCCTATACCTGGGCAGGGCAGAATGGGGGAGGCGTGGCTGAGGTTCCCAGGCTTTTGGGTTCAAGAGAATCACGGGAAACAGATGGACAGGAAGAGAGGAGGAAGGAGGATGTCACGATGGGTTAGCATGGAAAAGAAACCACGTGGGCCAAAAGAAAGGATTCCAATCATGGCGTGAAAAGGCCCAGATAAAAAATACAAGCAAGTGCCATGGAATTATGTATGGAAGGTAGACCAGATGAAGAGGATTAAGGTGGATGGCATTGGGTGGGGGCTGGGAGATGGATGGTGAGGTTATTGAGACAGTGTAGGTGAAATACCTGCCAGGCCCAAGGCAAACAAGGCAATTATAAATCTAACAGGTGTCTGTGTCTCATTATTTGTGACAGCAGGTTAGATAATACTGCCGTGATAATCTTGGGACTAATAATAAACATTATATAGCCCATCACACTGATTTTTTTTTTTTTAATTTACAACAGCAGACACAGCTGAGAAGCCATATCCCACCTGCCGCCAGCAGCCCAGAGCCTGCTCTACTCCAGACAGTTCTCTGAGGCTTGCCTTCCAAGGCCGTGCCACGTGTCTCCTCAGTCTCCAACTGGGCCACTCAGTATTGTGACACGCAACAATTAAAAAAATGGCTGAGTCTGGAAACTTTCATTCTTGGCTGAGGGGAGAGGGGAAAACTCACCACAGGAAGTGCAGGCTGTTCCTCGAAGATACAGGCTTGCAAGCTGCCTCCTCTGCTGGAATGATTCTTCAGGGAGGAAACAAGCAGCATTTTTAGGCCTTCCCTCAGAGTCCAGGCAAGGTGGCAAGAATGAGGGCCACAGAGCAGAAGAAAGCATGCCGGGAAGGGTGTGGGAAGGCCCACACGGGGGTGCCTTTGCTCTCCTCCCTCCACCCCCCAAAAAGAGGCAGTTCCTTGTACTTTCTGGTTCCTCTGCTGACAACTGGGCCTGGATATTCCCCGTACACACCCACTCTCGACTCACTCCTCCATCCTCGTCAGTCTCTCCTAGTGAGCGCTAAAATACCTTCACCTTTCCTGATAGTTCAGGTATGGCTCGTCTTGCTCGACCCAAATAAAAAAATGTCACCATTTGTCACTGTAATTACGGCAAGCGGTGACACGGGCTTCCTGCTTCAAGCCTTATTTCCGTATGTCCAGACTGCCTGCTGCAGCCAGAGGGCTAGGTTCTCCGTTCTCCGGCTGACGCCGTCAGCGAATTTCAGCTACCACTTGGATGTACGGCACCAAACACAGTGCTTCCGCCCCTGGTCCTGCCCCTTCCTCATCTCCAGTCACTTCCCGCCTCACAGCCCGGCACTGGGCATTCCACTCCAATGACCTATTTCCTGGAAATACCTTATTTTTGTTACTAAATGACATCAAAACTTATGAACACACACACATGAAGTCAGAATATCCCAAATTTTTGTTTATGGTACCACTTGGTGAAACAATCTAAGTTCATCACAACAGGAAAATGGTGCTTTTAAGACATGCTGTACATGGGCCATGCCAGAACCTGAAGCCTGTTTTTGGTGATTTGAAAAGAAGTACATTGATATTCATGGAAACAGTCCAATTAGCATCACCAGAAGGCAGGAACCGAATGATCTCAAGGGAATGAGGATGTGGCTCAGACGTAAGACACATGCTTTGCATACATAAGGCTGAGTTTGAGCCACCCCAAACCAACGAACACAAAACAGTAGCTCGCGCATGCGCGCACAAACACACACACACACACACACACACACACACACACACACACACACACACGCATACACATACACACACGCATACACACACCATTTAAAACTGCATATAGGGGTTGGAGAGATAACTCAGCAGTTAAGAGTGCTTGCTGCTCTCCAGAGAACCAGGTTTTGGAACTCAGCACCCATCAGATGATGGCTCATAATTACCTGTACCTCCAGCTTTAAGGGACCTTTCTTCTGGCCTCCACAGGTAACTACACTCATGTGCACAAACCCATATACAGATACATATACACCATTAAAAAGAAATCTTCTATAAAAAATTCCAAGCGTATTTAAGTATATGTGTATACATGTATGTTTACGAATGTATATATAATGCTTAGGACACATATCCCCAAGCCATTAATAGTCACTGGAGGCTATTATTTGGAGGTAAGAAGGAAGAACCATTTATTATTTTGTAGACCTCAACACCGCCTCAGGTTTAAACACAGTCATGCAGCTGTTTAAAAATATTCTTAACATGTGGTGCCTAGGCACAACAAGAGCATGCCACCACACCTGGCTTTTATTTTACACAGGTTTTGGCATCATACTTGGGGCCTCATATTTGCATGGCAAACACTTTTCTGAGTCATCTCCCTAAGCCAAATCTGTAAATCTGATGAACCCTCTCCCCAGACCCCTGACATGTGAGTTACCTAAGTGAACGGTCAACAGAACAGGAGGGTGGAGGAAAGGAAAGGAGGCAGGTGGGCAGTGAGCTCATGGACACTCATATAGGTAGGAACATACAACTGTGTGGTAAAGCTTCTTGAAGAAGGGGCTGGGAGTGTGCAAACACTGCCCACGGAGCTCCAACACTGAATGCTAGTTCTTCTAAGTGGTGTGAACGTGGCTGTGGACAAGTAGGAATGGCTGGATTCCAATGACACCTTATTTATGGCAACAGGCAGCTGCAGATTTGGCCCGCAGGGCACAGCGATGACCCTGCACTAGAATGGAAGTCCTGTGAGATCAAGGTGTTCTGTTCGCTTTCTGACGGATGGACTCCCAGTGAGTGACTGGTTATGGTGCCCTGTGCCTGGCCAGCCCATAGAGAGCAGTCTCTGACTGAATAAGGCAGAGAACAACCAGAGTATCCACAGAGAGCCAACCCTGCTTTCTACTGAATCTGCCTCAATGATTCGGATTAGAGAAAGCTAGCCAGAGTTTCTCACAGGGATGGTGCATGCTGGGATGCTTGCTTCTGGACTCTGCAGACGGCCAGCAAAACTGTCACCTCTCTCCTCATTTAATCCACGTGCCTCTTATCTACACTTGTGTCCTGGTGACATCTGTGATCTATGTTAAAACTCACAGAGCGAATGGCGATGAGTCAAGCAGTTAAATGCGCTTTCTGCTCTTCTAGAGGACCTGTGTTCAGTTCCCAGCACCCACATGGTGGTTCATGAACTGTCTGTAACTCCCGTTCCAGGGGATCTGACACTTACTTCTGGCCTCTGAGGACACCAAGGATATATGTGGTATATATACATGCAATGAAAACACTCATACATACAGACATACAAACACAATCTTAAAAAACAAAACAAAACAAAAAAAAAAACCAAACCAAAAGAGAACAGAACAAAAGAACCAACTTATCTAATCGAGACAAGTAGCCTCCAGCACCTAGGAACTGGCCTGGTACACACAGGTAGGAGCATGGCAAATACAAGTTGCCTTCTAAATTGTGTCTGAACACAGGCCAAACAACACTCGCTAAGCTGCAAAATAACAAACAGCAGTCATGCCCTGGCAAGTAAGTGTCTGCTCTCCTGCTACTCTTCCACTTACTGTCCCTCAGCTGGGATCTGAGGCGCCCAAGCCCGCAATTCTCCCCACTTCCCCACAGTATCCAGAGCTAACTCCTGTCACTCCTAACGCTCCTTTAAAATCACCCAAGGAGTCTAAGCCCATTGTCTTCCCTGACACCTCACGGAACACACGGAGTGACATGAGTAAAAACCCGGTTTCTGGTTTCAGTGTTTCAGGTGGGTTTGCTCAGCGGGGGATGACTAAGGGACCCTGAGGTTACAGCCACCATTCGGATTACCTATGCTCTGCTCCATACTGTTACTGGGGTAGTAGAAAGTTTGGGCGTCTTCAAAAACTCAGTTTTGTTATGGGAACACGTTTTTGCTTTAATCCTAGGTGTGGGATGTGGGGCTGATTCAGATTGTCCACAGCAGCAGACTCTTTGTCTCATGAGGGCTCTGAGAAGGGGCCCTTTGCTTCTGAGGATTTTGGAGAGGGAACAAATGACAGACCCCAAAGAGAGAAAGAGGGCTCTGAGAAAGAAGGCTGCTGGCCCTCCGCCCTACTGTTCCTGGTTGCTATTGATGCAGTCTGACGAGAAGTTAGAGATATCCTAAACGAAGACTGGACTTGCCCCAAGGAACCCAGCGACCCCTAACCAGCAGGAAGCAGTCTAAAGAGAACTACACCCCCTCTCCTCACTAACCTTTCTCTCCTACCTGGTGTCGGGTTGTTGGAAGGGGTTGGGGTAAAGGGAGACAGAGGAAGAAGGAACTAAAATAAAATAGATGTAAAAAGTGTGGCTACACAACCACACTGTAAAGCCCCAACGTGTCATCACTGCATGCTATTTAAGACAAAGGTTTACAAAAGACACAGCTGCTGAATCATATTTATGACAGGAAATCACAAAGCCATCTTACCGAGCTGGTGACTGGCTGGCCGGTGGCGGGATTTCCAAACACAGCAAGTCTGGCATCTAACTCTTCTGCAAGGCGAGCCTGTCCATCCACTTGACTTGACGGAGGCGACTGGACAGCCTGACCGCTATACACTGCATTATCCTCTTCTCGTATAACTTCCCAATTCTAGAAAGCACGGAATCCACGGTCATCCGCTGCTTAAAATGTGCTGGAGACGGGAACAAGGGAAGGGGCCATACCTCAGGGGACTCCCGGTTGTCAGGGCTGTCCACCTCCTCCGATATCTGCCGCCTGGTGGTAAACGCTCGCTGTGCCTGCAGCTGGATATCACCGTTCTCAGCATCTGTGAGGTCATCCCTAGGGCAGAAGTGTAAGAAGGTGTCACTCCTGCCTCGTCACAGTGAGCATCATAATCAAACAGCCTGCAGTTAGTGAATACTTAGACTGAATTTTCTAGTTTTGCTCAAAGGCAAAGGTCAGCATTTCACCATGCTGACCATACTGTCAACACATCGGGAGCTGCTCGGGGGAGGGGCTGGGACAGCGGAAGAGAAAGTGCCTTGGAAGTAGAAAGTCTCATGCAGATGTGTAACCAGCAGCTGATATTTAGTTCATCACCGTGCCTAGGACACTGTCCTAGTGTGCTTCTTGCTGCGATAAAGCAATGACTGAAGCAACCCGGGGAGTCAAGAGTTCCTTTTGTTTTACAGCTTCCAGTCATCATGACGGGAAGTCGGGGCGAGAATCTGGAGGCAAGAGCTGCAGCAGCGAGCACGGAAGGGTGCTGCCGCCTGGCTTGCTTCCCAACGGCTCCTTAGCCTGCTTTCTCGTACAACCCAGCACCACCCACCCACGGACGGCACAGCCCACAGTGAGTTGGGCTCTCCCACATCAGTCATCATTCCAGACAACGCCCCTCAGACACGGCCACAGGCACATCTGATGGAGACAATTTCTCAGCTGAGGTTTCCTCTTCCCACCTGACTCTAGCATGTGTCAAGCTGAGAAAACTAACCAGCACAGATCATGTCTGGCATATTATTTACTATTGTTTTACCATGTTAGCACAAGATTAAAATCCAAGGCAGTTCTACAGTCAAATAACACCTATGAAACAATTAACTGGTAGAATCGGTCTTTTTTTTGGGGGGGGGGTGAGGGGGACGACAGGGTTTCTCTGTGTAGCTTTGGCTGTCTTGTCAATTCTGAGTGGCCCAGAAGTTCAGCATCTTCTTTTGCTTTTACAAATATTCAATCCATTACCAACCATGGCCATCATAACGGTCCACAGAGCACAAGGACTGTCCCTCTGCCCAAAGCCACCACCTCCCTAATCCGCGAAGCTACAGGAAGATCCTTAATTTCTCTGTCATAGCTGGTAAAAATATCAACTGTGACTGTTTTAATAAATGTTTAGAAACCTTTTCCAACTGCACACCGGCACCTGACATGGACACACTCTGCGTGGCAGGCAGGCAGGTCTGTCTGTCTGTCTAAGACAGCAGGGTGGCTTTACAGCATCTCCCACTGTGCAGTTGGTGTGTGGCCACGCAGATCCTGATGCCTCTGTGCTAGAGAGGGTGACCACTGGTCTACTTCAGGAGGACCTGAGAAGAAACAGGACCAACCTTCTTGGAAAATAGCAGATGTACAGTTTTGGGAGGCTAACGTAAGAAAACTGTAAGTATGTGTCAGATACCCAAAGACAAAAAACAGCATGTGAGGTTACATGAGAAGGAAGATAAAGATATCTGATCCTGAAAGTGAGAAGAGCCTGGAAATCTATGCACAATGTTTGGTGGTTTTCTCGTTTGTTTTTGTGCTTGGGATTGAACCAAGGAACTTGAACTTGCTAGGCAAGCATTTTCCTAGTGAGCTAAACCTCTAACCCCAAATGAGATCACTGCAGTTTTATACTAAAGAAAGTCACCAAGAAGATAGGAGCATGAATATATCCAAGGTTATTCCGCCCTTCTCTATGCATGTGGGAAGATCTGTGTCTACTGTTCAAACTGGAGAAGAGTTTCAATAAAGGACCCTTATTAGTGGTTCCTCCGTAATTTAAAAATAGTTTATATTTTTAAAATGAAGTATTGGGGTTGCAGTTCAGCGGCAAAGTGCTTGCTGAACATGAACAAAACACTAGGGCCAAACTTTAGCAGCACAAAAACACTGCAGAAGATTTAAAAATCTTTTTACATTTTAACAGCCCACCACGAACATTTCTGTAATGTGTGCATGTACTTGGTACACAGACATGCACGCGGCTGAACACTCATACACGTAAAAAATGTAAGCTGAGGCTGGTCTCAACCTTCCTATAGTTAACAATGAGCTTGAGGGCTGGCGAGATGGCTCAGCAGTTAAGAGCACTGACTGCTCTTCCAGAGGACCTGGGTTCTATTCCCACCACCCACACGGCAGCTCACAACCGTCTGTAACTCCTGTTCTAGGGAATCTGACATGCTTACAGAGACATATATGCAGTCAGAACACCAATGTACATAACACTGAAAAAAAAAAAAAGGTCAGAGGGATGACCCTGCGCCTCTGACCTACCTGCCTCCACCCTTCAGCACTGGGGCACTGGGTGCGCGCCACCCCGCTCCATTTCTGTGGCACTGGGGACAGAACTCAGGGCCTCCTGTAGGGCGGGCAAGAACTCCACCAACTGAGCCACAGCTGCACCTTAAGCAATTTTAAAGGTTTTGTTTCTCATTACATTTAATTGACTTTTGCTTGTCTGTTTATTGTGTGCGTGTGTGTAGGTATGAGCACAGTATACGTGTGGTGGTCAGGGGACAGCTTTTGGGATTCTGTTCTCTCTTTCCCCTATGTGGGCCCTGGGGTCACACTTGGGTAGTCAGGCTGGGTGGTAAGTGCTCGTTCACACACTAAGCCATCTTGCTGGCACCCAAATAATCATTAAAAAAAAAAAAAATCTTAGCTAAGACAGTTCTTCAGTGGTGGTTATCTAACAGTTTAGGGCTCCCTACGCCACCAAGAGCCTACTCGAGCCGGTGGCATCAGCATGCTAAGTAGCAGCAAAATATAACCAGATTGGCACATACTCAGGGCTTGGTCTTTTCCACTGTGTCCTTCTAGAGTCATGGTTTACATAGTAGGTCCTTCCAAGGACATCCTGCCTCTCTTCCCATCCTGGAGGCAGGGGAGAGGGTTCTGGTGGATGCTGCAAATGGGTAGCAGCATCTGGTTGGTCCAAAACCACCCAGCCAGGCTGAAAGACAGAATGCAAGCAATTAACTTGACACTTGACTTAAAAAAAAATTACATATTACAAATAAAGAAAATTTAAAAATTTTCACGTTTTATTCTAGATACTGTGCATAAACAGAATTAGTACATTCTCAACTCAAAAGCCCAAAATGTGAGTATTCTGTAACCAAGGCTTTCCTGCAAAATGATGAGCATTTAAATTTTGCTTGAGAATGCTTTAGACTTTTTCAAAAAAGCTTAAATACCAACAAATCATCCAAACAAAGGACAAAACACCAAATCAAATCCTTGCAAAAAACCAACCAATGACAGAAATCAAACCCTAAACCCTTTGAACAACTGAACAAAGATGTGAGGTTGGAAGGTGCTGAGGACTGAAACCACCTGACGCTGGTCACTCCCTAAGGCACAAGAAGCTGAAGAAGGCAGTGGAGGGGCCTTGCTGAGCATCATCTCTCCCACAGGGAAATCGCCTTGCTCATGGTGGAAAGAGCGTCTGAATTTGATTCCCAGAACCCTTATCAGGCAGCTAACAACTGCCCATAACTCCAGTTCCAGGGGATCTGACACCTCTGGGATCCACAGGTCCATGCAGTTAAGCACTTAAACCCACATACTCACACACACAAAAGTTTTGTTTTGTTTTCTTAAAACTCCTAATGGGGGCTGGCTGACTGAGTATAGCTCAGTTCATATAGTGTATGCCTAGCATGCATGAAGCCCTGTGTTCCATCCCCAACACCACATACGAATAAGACATAGCCAACAGCATTCTGAGAAGGAAGAGACGCATGGAATCTGTAAGAGACGACATTCTAGGCCGCAGCCATCAGCACTGAGGGGCACACACAGCTCAGAACAGGCAGGGAATCGCAGAAGGAACAAAACTCAGAGAACCTCAGAGTACGATAAACATTTTAAATCTGTGGGGAATTGGGAAGATTATTTAGAGAACGGGCACTTGTTGAAGAAAAAAATTTAATTTGGATCCCTAACTAGTAACTTATACCAGGATATACTACAGACTGAGCAATGTTCAAATGTTAAAAAAGCAAACCTGGCAAGTGCTAGAACAAATTTGGAGAAAGTGAAAGCAATATATTCCGAGAAGCTATTAAGTATGACAGCAAACCCGGAAAGCACAAAAGAGAATTATAAGTGTGACTTGGAAAACCGCAAACATGTAAGTGTCCAAGCCCTGTGAACCAAAGTAAAACAAGGCTGACTGGAAAGACCTTTGCCACTATGACAGGTACACACAATTTCATAGAGACTGGGCTTCTGTCCCCTTTGTTGGCAATGCATGTGCAGGTAGATGCAGGCCAGGAAGAGAGCAGCGCTCCATCCTTGGGGGTCAAGAAGAGATGTGGGAGGCAGGGGCTGAGGAAGAAGAGGGGATGAGGGGCAAGAAGAGGGAGACAGGAGAGTTACTTGGGCAGGGATTCTGCACAGGAAGCTAAAGTAAGTTCCTTCTCATGTATTCCTCTCCTTGTTCTTTTCACTTCTATGAGAGCTGAGGCCTCATTTTTTCCCTTTAGCTCAAATTCCACTCTCTTCCTCTTCCTTCACCTTTATTTTTTGTGTTTTCCTTTTCGGTATATGATCATAAAACACTGCCTTATAAAAGAAAATCTAATCTCGTGTATGCGGGGTCAAACTGCATCTCCTCAGGCCTTGGCCTCAGAAAGTGTGACGCGAGTTTTTGATAGAGCCTTCTGGAAGAGAGTTTAGCTCAAGATTTCCTTTTTCTGTCACTCACTCACTCACTCACTCACTCACTTTTATGCGTTTAGATGTTATGCCTGTGTGTATGCATGCAGGACCCACGACGGCAGAAGGCACTGTGTCCCCTGGAACTGGAGTCACAGATGGTTGCGAGCCACCACATGGGGGCTGGGAATTGAACCCGAGACCTCCAGAAAAGCAGCTAGTGCTTTTAACCACCTCGTCACATCTCTCTAGCCCTGAGATTTCTTCACTGAATGTGGCCAATGGCTGCTTTCCTTTCAGATTAATAAAACTTACCAATAAAAAAGAATTTATTAAGGGGAATATAAGAAAAAAGACACAAAGGAGGACTACAGAGAAAAAGGAAGCGGAGGAAGCGGCTGTTGAAAGAAGATGACGGGGAAGGAGGGAGGTAAAGGAAGACGGGTCTGTATCCAAAGTGAAAGGAGCCTTCTGTGAGTAAGAGACAAGAACCAGACAGGGTATTTAAGAAGGCACCGTTCCACTGCTGAAATGAGTATCAGAGACTGGAGAGATGGCCCAGTGGTTAGAGCTTACAGCATTCAAGTCAGGCAACTCACAAGTGCCTCTAAGACTTCAAGTCAGGCAACTCACAAGTACCTCTAAGACAGGCACCTACACAGTGCATGTAACTCCAGAGTACATGAACAAAAACTTTTAACAAGTTTTTTTTTTTTTAAAGGAAAATAAAACTATTTAGAACTAAGAAATTGTACCAAAGATTTTTCTTAATTTTGTAAGTGTGTGTGTGTGTGTGTGTGTGACTCCATGTGAGAGGGAGAGCACATGTGAGAGAGTGACAGTGTGTATGTGTGAGTGTTTGTGAGTTGGAGTGTGTGTGAGTGGCAGAGTGTGTGTATGTGTAAGGGTGCATGCACACACGCCATGCATATGGAGGTCAGAGGGCTTGTTTCTGGAGTTGGTTCTCTCCTTTTACCTCACTGTGTAGGGTCTTTCTTCTTATCTCTGCCACTGAGGTGCACACACTGAGCTAGCTGTCTTTTCCTGCCTTGCTAAGAAATGCTATCACGCGGGTTGTGAGGGCAGGACTCAAACTCGGGTCTCTGGCCCAAGAACATTTCTTTGAAAATGGTATTTCTCTCTTAAAGATCTGCTTTAATGCTGTCCATGCAACTTAACTTGGGGCTTTAAAAAAATGAAATGGTTTGAGAAAGTACAACTGTGTCTCACACGCTCCTGGAAAAGATAATGTTTTCAGTCTTCGGGTAGAATTCTTCCCTAAGAAACATGGATTATCTCTTTTCCTCATAAAATAATTTTCTACAAGTCACGGAATCCTAATTACTAGTCTCAAAGCCAATGTGCAAATACCTACAATTTAACGGAGTCAAAGGGGCCAGAAGGCAAGCACAAAATGCTTAGACAAACATTTTGCCCTATCTGGTGACATTCATACAGCGCACACCAAGACGCAAACAACACAAAAGGCTGCACAACCGCTGCTCACAGCCACACTGTACTCAGAGACGCAAGCTGCCCAGAGCAAGCCTCCGCCAAAACTATAATTGTTTTCTTCAAATAGCAGGATTTTAAATATTTAGTCACACACTAGATGTCAAAGGACCAGGCAAGACTTCTCTGGTCTCTGGCTGCCCAGAAGATAAATAAGCACAGTTGTGTGTCTGAATTCCTTGGCCTTTTCGTAAATAAACGACACGCTTACATCTCCTGAAATTATAAGGTGGACTCTGAAGGAATTCAAACATTGCGATGGGAGGCCGCAGCATGAAGCGAGGCCAGCCTACACCACAGAAGCGACCGGTGAATGAGGTGCCTGTGATCGAGGGCAGGCAGACCCTGGAGCAGGTTCCTGAGGAATGAAGTGCTGCTGAATGGCTAAGTCTCTGGGAGAGCCTTTTCTTTCCTCATAGCAGGCACTCTTCATTTCAAACAGAATTCCATGACACAAGATACCCTCTGAGCCACAAAGTCGCATACAGACATTCATACCCCCCCAAAATCTCTTGACAGCTTAAAAGCTGAGCCAGTGAGACGGCTCCAGGGGTAAAGGCACTTGCTGCCAAGCCTTATGACCACCCAAATTCAGTCCGAGACCTTCACAGTGGAAGGAGAGAATGAACTTCTACAAGTTGTCCTCTGACTTCTACCAGTATACCATGGAACATGAACAGGAACGCAAACACACACACACACACACACACACACACACACACACACTCAGAGGGAGGGAAAAATAACGAATGAATGAACAGGGGCTAAAGAGATGGCTCAGCAATTAAGAGCACTTCCTGCTCTTTCAGAGAATTTAGGTTCCATTCCCAGAACATACATGGCAGCTCACAATGGTCTATAACTTCAGTCCTGGGAGATCTAAATCAGCACCTCTGACCTCATGAACCCCAAAGCCTACACACATATGAACATACATTCAGGTTAAACACCTACATACAACAAACAACCAACCAAACAAATAATTAAAATATTTTAAAAAAAGAAGTGTACTTTTGAAAAGTCATTGTAAGGAAAAAAAAACAGAAACATCAGAAGAAAGGGTAATCAAGATGGTTGATAAGTATTTAAGAGCGGGTAGGTAACACACTTCAGTCCCCAAATCAGGGGTTACCTGCAGCTATGATTTAAGAAAGAAATAACCTTCCTTCTCTCTCAGACATTCCTCTACAAAGCAAAATCTCACTAAGGCATTAAATAAAAATGCCCAAAGCCTTGCTAATTCACTTCCTATTCTAGAACATTCTTTATCAGACCATCCAGGGACATGAGCTAGAGCCCAGACCTTAGGGAGGTCCCATGGCTTCATAGCTCCTATGGAGATCAGAGCAGAGCCTCAGCCTTAGGAGACAGCCTGTGAAGAGAGCACACACAACAGAGACCCTTCTAGAACAATTGGGTGAAGCACACTGTATGTGCTACCTGCTGCTGAACTCTGCGTCAGGGGACCCTGGGAAGGAGGTGGGCTTTGTCTTTTCAAACCTAGGGAAGAAACTCTAAAGGTGGCTGTGGGGAACAGAGCTTGCTCCTGGGGCTCAGCTGTCACTGACCCTGAGGCTCTCTTCCTCCATGTGCCCAGATGTGTAAAGCGCTGTCCAGGCACCGGGCTGGAGTTTTCTGTTAATCTTGTCATCAATGAAAAAAGAACCATGGACTTATATTTACTTCAAATGAACATGACAAGAAAGGCAACAAGAATTACACGTCCTAAGGCATTCTTTTATGATACATATTATGCTAATACATTATACATATTAAAACAGCATATGATAGTAATTTTAGTATAGTAAGATGCCTATAGATTTAACTCTACAAATACTAAATAATCTTATTCTACAGGAGACTAGGACATGGTTTTGAGAAACTAAACAGTCAATTGTATAATGATAATCAACACTTGCACTGATAAATACTGTATTTTCGATTGTCTAACCATTAGATCTAATAGCAGCCATTCTATAGAGACACCTTCAGAGGGAAGAACTGCTTGATGAACATTGGGTCAAGTCAACATCCTGGTGATTTTTATTGCATGCGTTAGTTTCTGTGGACATTATTTTTCTACCGAGGACGTAGAAAGACATCAGACAGGCCCTTTTCAGCTTAAGCAAGTATTTTGGAATCTCACCTCTAACTCCTCAACCTGATCTCCATTCTCCTCTTCCGAGCCATTGGTTTTAGGTAAATAAGTCATTTTTAATCTCAGATAACCTTTAACTCTTGACTTGTGACTGTGGAAAAAACAAAACAAAATTATTCACGAAACTTCAACACCAAGAAGA